CGAGTACGCTCGAGTACGCACGAGTACGTTCGAGTACGCACGAGTACGCTCGAGTACGCTCGAGTACGTGCGAGTACGTTCGAGTACGCACGAGTACGCTCGAGTACGCACGAGTACGCTCGAGTACGCACGAGTACACGAGTACGCTCGAGTACGCACGAGTACGCTCGAGTACGCTCGAGTACGCACGAGTACGGACGAGTACGCTGCAGAACTATATATCGCACGAAATATGTTTTGTATGTGGTTTCGTACATATTTAGTATTCAATATTCCAATATATGGCATACCTTATATATTGCATATACAGTACAATATATATATATATGTATGTATGTGTGTATGTGTGTATGTGTGTATGTATGTATGTATGTATGTATGTATGTATGTATGTATGTCTGTATGCATCTAAAAGCATCTCGGCTCCACGATGTGGGGTGCTCCAGGGAAGTGGGTTTTGTGCGCCCTCTGGGTGCTGGCTGTTCGAGGGTTGGAGACCCAAAGCAGCAAAGAGAGGGCTGAAGGTTGCTCTGCGGGTTGGCTGGCTTGGCTTTTCCTACAGGGAGTCCAGTTGCAGAAGCCATGGACCTTGTACCGTGTCACGGCGACAACAAGCAGCCCAGATATGCAGCAAGAGTGTTCCTTCCTGACTACATTGACATCTCAACAGAAACATATGTGTTGGGAAGCCTCACGAAGCAGTGGGGTAAGCTTGAAGACGATGTCAGACGAGCACGACAAGGCAGGCTCCGGCGACGGGAGCAAGAAGGGCTGGGGGCCTTTGGTATCTGGCTTCTGGGTTGGGGCCTTTTGGATCCAACTGGCAGGCTATGCCTGCTCAGCAGCACTCTTGATTCCAGCTACCAATTCGGTAAATCCATGTTCCAGAATGCCTGCAAGCAATATAATCCGGAGCTTGAAGAACTGGATTAGACGGCCCGGTCGCGGCCTTTGCAGGTTCGTTCGTGAAGTGAGTAGAGCTGCTCAAGGTGCTTGGAAGCATGTGCGCCGACAAGCCACTCATAGTACACACGGGGCGTGGATAGCCCTGCTGATATTGCTCCTACCTCTTGCTCTGAGCCTTGTCGCCTTCGGCCTCTGCTCCACTGCCGCCGAAGCACTGGCCATGAACATGGGAGCAGTGATCAAGTGCCCCCCACATGTTCGGATTCTGTTGCGAGTTAACTGGCCGATCAGCACAGGCAGCAATACTGGCAGCATGGCAGTCTTCATGCAGTGGAAGAGTCAATCCTGTGATGTAGGCAGGGCTCAAGCGGACACAGCGGCAGTGCAGGTGTGCCACATGGTAGAACGGCTAGGAGAAAGTTCCTCAGGAGAGTACGTGGACATGCTAAATGGTGAGGAGGAGACTATGGGCACCCTGGCGACCAACGACACAGCCAGGGCCATGACCGGTGCTGAGGATACCACGGAGGTGACAACTGCAGACGGCGCCGCCAACGAGCTGCACAGGCCGGACCGGGAGACTGCAGATGCTGCTCCAGCTGGCGAAACAAGGACACCACAGCCGGCCAGAGTGATCAGAGACAGACTGGGGCAGATTGTGCGGGAGCCAGTCGGGCCTCCCCCAATCATCCTGGAGCAGGAGGCCTCAGAAGAATGGGAAGAGTGGGAAGGTGAGCAAGGGGATTCCTCCCCGGGCCAGGCGGAGGATGAGATGGTGGAGCCCCCATCAAGGGCCTTGCCTGCAGAGCTGGACCCGACCTACCGGCATTTCTCGCTGGCGGTGTCAAACGCGGTCTGCGAAGTTATGCGGAGGCATGGAAACTCCCAACAGGTATTCCATGTGCTGAGTGTGCCGCCATTTGATTGGCGGCACACTCGAGGCTTTAAGCTCATGGCAGTCCCGTTGACCAACCAGATGATGCAGCATCCCAACCTCCTCAAGTGCTCGGATGGACCCCGCTTCCCACCGCCAAGAGCTGCTCCTTCGGAAATGTCAGAAGCGGAGGCGGCCGAAGATGAGGAGATGGCAGCGCTACGAGCCGAGCTAGAGGATGAGACCATGAGCGGCACGGACCGAGGCGCCAGGATGAGCTCCTCCACGGCCCCAACATCTTCCATGGCATCCGGGACGGCTACCTCCACCACCACGGGACCGCAGAGACGACAGCCCTGGCCCTCACAGTATGCACCACCAGTGCCCACGCCAGCTAGACCTCAGAGCACCAACTCAAGTGCTGAACCGTCCAGGCAGGAGGGGCAGTTAGGAAGCATGCTGCCATGTCGGTACTGCGGCTTACAGTGCAATAGCAGAGCTGTGTGTTCAGGCGAAGTGACCCGTACTGACAAACCGAGGGCGCCTGAGCAAGTCTTGCTAAGGGAGATAGGCAATTCACTGAGGGTGGCAAAGGCCCTTATGCTTCTGCCCATGCTTCTGTCCACAAACTGGCCTGCGGATGTGACCAAAACAAGCCTCTTCCGCCGAGCTCTTCGGTGTCTTTGCAGCCGAATCAGAACTCAGTCCATGAATACCCAGCGATTGGCCAGGTACAGCCCGACGACCTTCATGAGCAGATGGCCGGTGTCCTTACACAGCGTATTGCAGTTATGGCTCTTGTACCTCATCGCATGCCTGCTTAGGTCGATCGAGGCCCCTGACTACCTGATGATGATGATGTCAGCGGCTCTGTTCGGTCTCAAGTATGCTCACAGTGCATTCCACAATGCCAAGCTATCTTCCAGGTCTATACAAGGACTATCGATGCCGACACAGGCTGGACGGCTTGAACTACCTGAGGGCAGGGCACAAATGCATAGACAAAGATTGCACGATACGCGATTGACGACAGGACGCCGCCTGGAGACCCACCAACCGAGAACATCTACGAGCCGCTCGGGTCCCAATTCCCGAGGCTGCAGTCATGTGAAGATAGGCAGTCGGTTGTTCATTCTGACTATACTGTCTACCCTACCCTACACAATCAGAGCGACTGCAGCAGATGCGAGGGTTGAGCTCCCAGTGCACCGCTGGAGCTCTGAAGCCGAACATGGGCCAACCCAAGAGTACTATGGGGCGAAGCCAGGTGACAGCCGCCACCTTGCCCAACCTCATCAATCAGCCAGCTCCGCAAGAGGAACGATCAGGAAAAGAGCACTCAGAAGAGCGATTGCAAGAGCTAACACAAGCTCAGATGGCTGCACATGGTACAGAGGAAGACGACTACACCTACGACAGCTACAACAAGGTCGGCCCCCTAGCGAAACCCCCCCGACCCAATGCCTCCACAATGAACGAGAGGCGAGAACCCTTCGGATTGTGAGCTGGAATGCAGGTGGACTGCACAGCTCCCGATACAATGAGCTGCTGGTTTGGCTTGTGGAGCAAGCAGACCAAGGCCAACCCGTCGACCTGCTATTCATACAAGAGTCGCACTGGCGTCAGGACATGGAGTTTTCGGTGAAACCTGCAGAGGACAAATCACTCCAGTATCATGTACTTCACTCAGCAGGGGATGAGAAAGCAGGTCTCCTATGCATGATTCGCACAGGAGTTGTCCCAGCATCGCACATCAGACACCAGGCACCACTGCCAGGGAGACTCATGCACATCAGACTAATGCTACGCACTCCGGTTGACTTCCTGAATACATACCAGTTCGCATGGAATGTCAACAAGGCGGCAGCGGCTGGACTCACGACGAAAGCCAAGACGGAGTCCTTGCTGAAACAACGGCGACGAGTCTGGAAGCACATGGAGTCGTGGTTGAGGACGATTCCCAGAAGACATGGATGTCTAGTAGTAGGTGACCTGAACACGCCAGTGGCCATGGAAGCACCTATTACAGGACCGAGTGTGCTGGACTCCACAAAGGCCCAGCAGCAGGACCTGGAGGTCCTCATGGAGCTTCTGCGAGCGAACTCTTGTGCAGTCCTAAACAGCTGGACTGGCACAGGTCTCAAACTACGGACATTCATCCCTCCTGGACCTGATGGACACCAGCAGGGCTCCCAGATAGACTACATCATTGCTCGAGGAGACATGAACAATACCCTCTCACGACGAGCTGCTCCATTCGAGGCCCCCTTCGTGCCTTCAACAGGATGCAGGCATCTACCACTCCAGGCCAGAATCTCGGTACCCAAGAAGCCGAGACCACCCATGCAGGATGGTCGCAAAATTACCCCGCAGCAGGTCCGCCAGGCTGTCAGAGCGCCACCTCAAGCGAGGCAACTGCAGTTGCATATTCAGCTGGCCATGGAGAGTGAGGGTATGAACATTAACCTGGATGAGGTGATGATTCGGGCATGGGAGAACCTGCAGAAACAACAGCAAGTGGCACAGGCTCCTGTGGCCATCTTGAACCAACAGCGCAGCATCAAGGATAGCGTAATGGTGATGTGGAGGCTCCGGGCATCCCTTCGACAAGCCAGAGATGACCACCCTGGTGAGGTGGGGGCCCACGACGGTCCCAGCCTCAAAACACTGTGGGATTCCTGGGCAAAAGCCGCGAAGCTGCAAGCCCTGACTCGACAACTACGAAAGGACTGCAGACACAAGAAGACGGTTCGAATTCTGGATGTGGTCCACTCAGAGAATGTCTTTCAGGCGGCCAAAAGGTTCGCACCCAGACAACCTAGAAGTAGACTTCAGCTACGTTCACCGGAGGGACAACTTCAGTCCCATGAGGCCGAGTTTGCACAGATCAGGGCTTACTTCAAAGACTTGTTTGAGGGGCCAGATCGGGAACCATATTGCCTGTTACAGCAGGTGGAGTTCACGGAGGCGGAAATCAGCCTGGCACTCGGCAGACTCGCAGCGACCAAAGCCATGCCCTCCACCAGTGCACCGGCAGCGCTCTGGAAGCTTATGGGAGATCAGGTGGTCCCCACCCTACACCGACAACTACGAGAGGCCCTCTCACCAGGCACCTGTACCTTGCCGGAAGCCTGGAATACCTCGGAACTGACACTCCTGCCGAAGCCAGGAAAGGCCATGACATCGCCCAGCCAACTCAGACCGATCAACTTGTTGCCGCTCCAGGCGAAAATCATAGGATCCATGGTGGCAGGTCGGTTACAGGAATACGTGCTCCGGTTTCTATGGGACGTACCACAGTTTGCATACATCCAAAGCCGATCCATGGGGCAGGCATTGGAGAGAGTGGCAGGACAATGTGCCGCAGTTCGGCGACTGCTCCAGGCCCAGACTCATAATCCACATGCAAGACGTGAGGGTCATAAATTGGCACAGGTGAAAGGAGGATGCCTCCTCTCTTTGGATATATCCAAAGCATATGATCACGTGGGATGGGACGACTTAATCCAAGCATTATCGGCGGCCCAGGTGCCGGACTCCATGATCACACTCATCATGATGATACATCGGGAGGCGAGAATCAAAATCAAGCATTGTGGACAAGAATGCCTGATCCCGATGAAACGGGGGTTGCGACAAGGATGCAGCTTGGCGCCGATCTTGTGGTCGGCCTACAGTGGCTGGGTTCTCAAAAGACTTCATGTGTCAGGTTTGCTAAACATCCCACGCAGCTGTACGGCATACGCTGATGACTTTTTCTTTGGATGGCAGGTCTCGTCTGGGGTGGAGATGGAGGTCATCTACAGGGCCATCCGACACATCTTGGCGGGCCTCAAGGAGCAGGGCCTGCAACTCAGCTTGGAGAAGACTGCCATCATCCTCGAGCTTCGAGGAGCCGGAGCAGCCACATGTATGCGAAGATTCGTGGTGGAAAGGACTGATCAACCAGGTCGCTACATGAAGTTTGTAATCAATGGGGAGGCTGTCTATGTGAAGCTACAGGACCATCACGTGTACCTAGGTGCACAAATAGGGTTCCAGAAGTTTGAGCAGGACACCAACAAGTACAGGTTGGGGCTCGCCAAAGGGGCGTACTCCAGGCTGACACCCATTTTGAAGTGCCGGACAGTCCCCCTGAAACTTCGACTGCACCTATGGCAAGGCACCGTCCTACCTACGATGCTACATGGACTGGATTGTCTGGGTTTGACGACCATCGAGGCAGGCAAACTGTTGAGTGTGTACTACCAACATGCCAGGGCCATCGCCAAGTCGTTCAGCGTGCTCACGAGGGAAACTAACAGAGACTTTGCAGGCAGACTGGGTTTGACCAACCCGCTCGACAGGCTGCTCAAGGCAATCGCCCGAAGGGAAGGAATGGATTCCTCACTCTGGCCTGACATCCGACCAGGTCACCAGCAACTCCAATGGCGTGAACTAGTGAGAAGCCAGCTGATTGAGGCTCAGGATGCTATGGGCACCAGTGCCGGTCCTGAAGCTCAGTTGAGCTGCCGCCTCCTCAATGTTCACGATGTTCTTCCTGAAGTCTTTGAGTGCAAAGAATGTGGCTTGATGTATGGTACCTCAGCGGCCCTCAAACGACATATGTTCAGAGAGCATATGACTGAGGAGGAGCAACTCCACGTTGCGGGAGTGAAGCATCGCATGATAGCCACTGACAACATGATACATTCAGTGTCAGGAATGCCACAGTGCCGACACTGTGGACACAAATTCACAACATGGCACGCGTTTTACTATCACGTGAACACGAAAGGGTGCCATACACTCAGAACACTGGCCGAAGGAAAGAGCATGCCAACAGATGTCGCTGACATGAATGAGGCATTGGTGGAAAATCAAAGCATTCTCAACCTTGCAAACAAATGTACATGGAGACAGCTTGCTGAGCATCCCAAGACCAGAAGTAACCACCATCATTGTCCTGAATGTCATCAATGGATGGCCACCCCGCAGTATGTGAAGAGACATATGCTGCTACGACACCCGGATCAAGCAGCTCTTGTGGAGAAGTGTGAATCGCTGATAGTACGAAGCAATCTCAGCCTTGGCAACCCGTGCCCCTTCTGCGGACTCAAGTATCAGAGAAAGTCGGCGCACTTAAAGTCCTGTATTGGTATCTTTAATGGTGTGTACCTGTACTTCAGGGTAGCCAGAGGCAGGCCGTTGACCTCGCTAGGGGAAGGTGACCATCATGGAGCAGAGCCAGGCCATGGAGACGGACCAGCAACAGCTCGAGGCGGCAACGAAGGAGTTGGCGTTGCTACAAGCCCTTGTCCCCTCTGGACCAGGTCCAGTGACGCAGGTGCCGTCTCCATCAGCGAGCCCGGGAAGTGCATCTACGGCACCGACAGCCGAGCAAGGACGCACAGACCGCCGAAACGAGGACCACCAGCAGAAGTACCACAAGGAAAGCCAAAAAGGCGTGCAGGGCAAGGGCAAAGGGGCCAAGAACACTCCCAAGGCACCATTCGCCAATTCCTGGCGAACTCCAGCGAGGAACTACGCACAACAACAAGGGCAATGGAAAGTGCCGGAAAACTACCCATGGCGCGAGGACGAGCTGATGGACATGGATCCGGTGCAGCTTCGCGCGACAGTCAGTATGTTGACCCGCCTCGTCCTCCGCCACGACACCCAGCATGCGATAGCCAGGCAGGACTCGGCGTTCGTTCTGTTTGTCAGAACGGACGCCCCAGACAGTTTAGCGAAGAGCACCCACAAGATAGCCCAGCAATGGCACGACCTGAAAGCCAACTCGCCGGACAAGCTCCGCCACCCCATGCGAACCATCCTGTTCCAGCGTATGATCAAGGTGACAGCGGACAGGTTCGAGAAGATGGTGGCTACCCCATCTTCGAGGTCAACCGCGGTGGCGATGGAGTGGATGAGCACGGACGAGCAGATGGTCCACGGGCTGAAGTGGGACGCGGAGGCTCGCAAGCATGTCAAGGACGAGACGGTGGCACCACTACGAATCCAGGAGGTCCGAGAGGCTCTACAGGAGATTCTGGTGGCATGTGTGGAACCGTTGGTCGTGGCGAGGTTCCATGCCACGAGGAAGCTCGCGGAGGAGTACTCCAGTCAGACACCATCACGATGATGCTGGAGATTGGACTTCGCACGGAGCATGCTCAGTTGGTTTGGAAGCATCTGAACAGGATGGAACGATCCGGCGTGTGGGCAGCAGCGGGAGTCTACCTACGCAGAGAAGGCATGCAACGGAGTGCCCTGGGACAGAGACTAGCTGCTATCACAAATTGTTGACACGCAGGCTGGGCAATCGGGGTAACTACTGCTATGGCAACTCTGCTTTCCGGGGGCTCACGGCAGCTGCTATGGCAATGGATGGTTTGCAACAATTATTTGAAGGGGGCATGCTCAAGTTTGTTGAAAGACTGCTGAGCAACAAGGGGACCGTGCACCTCTGGGCTCAACCGTATTGGGCCTCATTGGTGTGCACATGGGAGCTGCCGGAAAGGCAGCATGATGGGGCAGAGTTTATCCTCTACCTCCTGCGGCGACTGCCCTTCACTGCGGGGAAAGCTATGGCTACATGGCAGGCCAGACAACAGCAGGCTGAAAACTGGGTGGTACTCGATCAAGGCTGCTCGGCTCCACTTTTACTTCAGCCGCCAGCATGGGCCTGCCAGAGTGATGATCATAGCTTATCGGTGCAAGAGCTGCTGCATGCATGGAGGGACCAGGAGGCCTTGCATGCACTCGTCATGCAATCGCAGATTTTGATTTTGCAAGTGGGACGCTTTGGATTCGATCCAGTCTGTGAGAGAATGTTGAAACATCGGTTCAAGCTTGTTCCTGATTTGAGGATTGAAGTTCCTGTGTTTGGCCCCAACATGTGTGTGCAGACTGCTCGATATCGATTGTGTTCCGCCATCATACATATTGGTGATAGTCCTGACAGTGGCCACTACTTCAATACACTCCACGATGCGGACGGTCGAGTTGTGCTGGCTGATGATAATCATCCTGCCAGGTTCGTGGAGGAAAGTCTGAGTATCCAGTACTATAGCGACATTTACATTCTGTTTTACATACTGGAGCCACTGTAGGCCTCGCTTCTGGGCATTCGTGCCGGGGGCCTCGTTCCTGAGCGGAGGGAATGTGCGTAGCACAGCTCTATGAGCCGGGCACCAAGCCTGTTCCTCAACCTACGCTCGCTGAAGCCGGATCTTCTGCAGCGTCGAAAGTGAAAAAAAGTATGCATCTAAGTCTATGTGTGTATATACGTATGACGTTTAATACATGATACATGTTATACAATGTTCAATATACATAGTTTTCCATTGCGCGCGGAAATAGTGCCCACGCTGTGCTAAACCCG